TTATTTTATTTTATTTTATTTTATTTTATTTTATTTTATTTTATTTTATTTTATTTTATTTTATTTTATTTTATTTTATTTTATTTTATTTTATTTTATTTTATTTTATTTTATTTTATTTTATTTTATTTTATTTTATTTTATTTTATTTTACTTTATTTTATTTTACTTTATTTTATTTTATTTTACTTTATTTTATTTTATTTTACGTTTTTACATATTTATTTTTTCATTTAATATTATTTTATTTTTAAATAAACTAAATTCTAAACACAGAGAGAATAAATACAAAATAGTAGCTTTTGTTTCTGTTTTATAGTTGTATTAATACAATTATCTAATAAAATTTATACTAGAAAAACTAAAATAATTTAATAAGTTATTAATTAATTAATTTTATCTATTTATTTAGCATTTTGACTGCACTGACATTATCGGATGAAAACTTGAACTGAAAGTACTATATAAATAAAGATGACTTTATTTTTATTTTATTTTATTTTAAACTGAATTCTAAAAAAATCTTTGAGAATAAATACAAAAGTAGCTTTTATTTCCATTTTATAATTTTATTAATAAAATTATATAATTAAATGAATACTAGTAAAATAAAAAATACTATAAAATGTAATTAAAAATGTTACTGGATTTTGTTGATTTGTTTAGAAATATGTCTGCATTATCACATAGTAAATCAGCTATATCTTGACTATTATCATGTATACAAAGGCCACAAATATCACCAATGTTTTAGAATGACCCTTGTCATAAAATACCCACCAAAACCCACATTTTTGCAAATAACCACATTTTTGCTCATAGATCCAGATGTAAAGACCCCAGCCGCCCCATGACCTTCTGTGTTCTCACACACACACACACACACACACACACACACACAAAATCACTCTGTGTCCAATGATGTGCTCCCATCCATTTACCTCCTCTGGCAAAACAGTAAAGGCTGATTTGAAACAGAACCGTTTTTTATGAGATGCAGCCACAGTCTCCTAGAGAATAAAACACACACCGTAACTGCAATGTAGATCAGAGCAGCTCTCCTCCCCTCCCCAGATGAATGCTGCGCTCGACCTCTCTTTTCCCCAAGCAAGTATCAAGTTGTCAGCTGCGCTGAGCATGAAAAATGGGAGAGACCAGTTAGCATTGATAGTCGGTCGGCAGTGCATCGAGTCTGTTTGCTGGAGCTTTGGGGACATGAATTGCACATGTGATGGTTCACATCAAACAAAAGTGTGTCAAGTGCAAATAGACGGAGTCTGATTCTGTAATTCTATGTGGTTGAGTGCTGAAATGTGTATTAAGCGTAGCTAATTTTATGTCACATGACTGAAATGTCCCGCAACAGTCATGGCAGATGAAATACAATGGGTATCAAATGAAAATGTGGCCTTCAATAGTGAAACTGAGGTCAACATATCTTTTTACAATAGTTTTCTTCATGTAGATTTTTGAAACAAATTAATACTTTTATTAGGCAAAGCATTAAATTGATCAAAAGTGATAGTAAAGACATAATAAATTCTGTTCTTTAAACTTTCTGTTCATCACTGTTTAACGTTGATAATAATAAATGTTTCTTGTGCAGCAAGTCAGCATATTATAACGATTTCTGAAGAATCATGTGACACTAAAGACTGGAGTAATGATGCTGAAAATTCAACTTTGTCATCACAGGGAAAAAATTACTTAAAAATAATACATTATCATTTTAAAGTATATTAAAATAGAAAACAAAATGTAGTAATATTGTACAATATTACTGTTTTTACAGTATTTTTAGTAGTGCTGTCAAACAACTAATTGTGATTAATCGCATCCAAAATAAAAGTTTTTGTTTACATAATATATCTTTGTGTACTTTGTATATCATACATGTGCGTGTACTGTGTATATTTTATATATATATATAAATACACACACATGCATGTGTATATTTAAGAAAAAATGTATGTTTATTTAAAATATTTATATATAACATCAATTATATTAATATAAATATATACATGGAAATATTTTCAAAATATATACTGTATGTGTGTGTATTTATATATATATATATATATATATATATA